GCAGCGGCCGAAGCAGTAGCTCCTGGCACCCCAGTAAAGGTGCTGCTGCTGAAGCGAAACGACCTTGGCCTATTCAACGCCATGTCTAACGCCTTTTACGCCGGCGTGTACGCCTCGCTGAGGGCGCACAGCTCCACGGCTGCGGGCGACGTTCGGGTTGAGATTGTCGAAAAGGAAGCGAAAGTGGCTGACTTTGCCACCGTCCTGGAGGACGTGATGCAGAAGGAACAGGACATCCTCACTCTTCTGGCACAGTTCGGTGACACTCCCGTGATGAACGTGCGTTCGGTCTTGCCTCGCTATGACCTTGTCTCTTTTGCCCCGTACGCTTGGTCGAGTGTGGTGCGTGGGTGGAACACCAACGTGTACTTTGTGCGCGCTGGCCCTGCGGCCGAGCTGCTGGCCCTTCTCCGCTACGCCGTGACTCAGCTGCGGGTGCTTCGGCTGGGCTTCATGTACCTGCATGATGGCGATTTTGGTGAAAGGGACTATGCGCAGGCAAAACGTGTGATGTCGGCGCTGGGCTACGAGTTCTGCGACGTATTCGCCGTGAAACCTGCTTCGACTGGTGAGGCCGACCCTAAAAAGTTTGACGAAGCGTGGGAGCGGTTTGCTGCGTCTCGTCCGCAGGCCGTGATTATGCTTGGCTCGCGCGTAGAGGAGGACAATAAATTTATTACGAGGCTGCTGAGAGACAGGCGCACGGCCGGCACGTACCTGCTGGCCCCCTATGGGCTGCAGGACGTTGTCTTGGACAGCTGGCGCGCTGCCGTGGCTGCTGGCGCGAAGTTTGTGCCCGGGCAGGTGATCACGACTGGGACGAACCCGCTGGCGAAGGACACAGGGTTCAATGCCATCCGTCGCTTCCAGGCGGTGATGCGGGATTACCTGAAGAGCAGCGGGCAGAGGGTCTACAATGACACGGAGCATTTCCTCAACAATGACGGTGACGGCGAGTTCATGGTGGATGGGTGGCTTGCCGGCGAGGTGCTCGCACAGGCTCTGAGAAATTGTAAAGGGGTGAAGAACCGCAAGTCGTTCATGGCGTCTATCTTCAACCAACGCCGTTACGTGATCAACGACCTCGTGATTGGCGACTTCGGTGCTGAGTGCGACGACGAGGCTGCGGCACGCGGCGCCATCTGCCGCTGCAATCAGGGCGGCCGCGCGGTGTACATGAAGCGGTTCGTGGAGGGCTACCGAGCGGAGGTGGTGGATAAGGGCCTCATGACGTTCAGCTTGTCACGTTGTCGCGCTTCGCAGACGCCCATACCGTCGGTGTTTATTGGGGTGGAGTTTTTAATGAATGACAGCGCTGTTGCACAAGGTGCGACTGCACAGCTCCACACCGGGTTTTTTCGGGCAATTGCAGACCAGAAGGCCTCGTGGGAGGAGAATGAGATCAACCTTTTCCCTGTTACCTCCGCTCTGGACAGTGCCCGTGAGGCTCTAGTGGCAGAGCACAATGAGCGTCGGGTTCATGGGGTTGTGGGCAGTGTTGCGACGGAGGCGATGCTGGACGTGGAGGGTGTGTTCTTCCTCGACCCGCTGCAGCTCGAGCCGCGGCTGAACAGGTTCCGCCGGCACGTGATCCACCTGTCGCCGACGCTGGAGCAGCAGTTCTTCGTGCTGGCGGAGTACCTCCGAGACGCGGGTTTCCGCGCGGCGCACGCGGTGATCCGCGGCGAGGAGGCGGCGGCGGTGGCGGAGGTGCTGCGGCGGTCGCTGGTGACGTTTGGCGGGTCGCTGCGGTCCGCGACGCTGCTGGCCGGCGGCGACGCGGTGGCGGAGCACCTGCCGGAGGCGGGCGACGTGTTCGTGGCGGGCCTTGCGGCCGGCGACGTCGCTGCGGTGGCGCGGCACGTGGCGTCGCACGACGGCGTGCGCGTGTTCGTTCCGTTCTCCGAGTTTGCGCTGCTGCACGCCGACTTCGCCGCCGCGTTCGGTGGCGGTGCAGGTGGCGCCGACCGCGTTGTGTTTGCGACGAGCCTGCCGCACTGGAACGACGCGAATGCGACGTCGGAGACCGCCCGGGACTTCTTCGCCGCCGTGCCGGACGCCACGCAACGGACGCCGCTGGCGCTGATGGGCTTCGCTACCGCGCAGCTGCTGCGGACGGTTCTTTCCCGCATGGACAAGTTGAGCGCTGCGCGGCTGGCTGACTTCTTCTACAAGAACGTCGCCGGCGCCGTGAAGGACATTCTGTACGGCCCCTTCGTTAACGGCACGGCGTGTGCTGCGGCTGCGGCCGGCGGTGCTGGGTGCGGCAAGAACTACGGGGCGACGCACATTTCTGTGTGGTCGCTTGCCCGCGCGCTGGACCCCGCCGCGCCCGTGCTGCACCCCGCCGTGACCCCGACTATGCGCTACGCGGAGCCCGCTGCGCGCGGACTGACGGAGGCGGAGCTGATCGGCGCCATCGTCGGCAGCGTCGTTGGCGGTGTGCTGCTTGTGGGCGTGGCGGCTCTGCTGTGCTGCTACCGCGGCTCCCGCGACAACGCGAATGCGCCGAAGGAGCCGACGGACCCCGTGACGCTCGTGTTCACCGACATCGAGAGCAGCACGGCGCTGTGGGCTGCGTGCTCGCAGTTGATGCCCGACGCCGTGGCGACGCACCNCCGCCTGATCCGCGCGCTGATCACGAAGTCCGCTGCTCGA